AGCTCTTGTAAGAGCTTGTTCCTGTTCCTGCTTCACTCTCTGGGGAAAGAGAGGTTCACCCACTGGAACCTGGAGCCTTGTCGTAGGTCCAGGGTGGGTAAGAGACGGCGAGACCCCATCCAAGCTGCAGCGGTTCGTGGGGTCTAGAGTGCTTATGGCGTCAAGTGGAGTGCTTGGAGCATCCGTCAATGGAGGTATCCAGCCAGGGTACAGGGAGCTCAGTTACAAATACCTTGTGGGTCAGGGCTCTCAACCAGTCCCATGCCTTTCTCAGGGCCAGCATCCACGATCCACAGACTTTGTGTATCCTAGGAGCCAAGTCTACCCCATCATGGGACAGTCGGAGGATCTCGATGTGTTACACCGCCTGTGGCGCATGAACCTCGGCCTGTGTGGCTGATGCAGAGTGGTACGACCTCTCGAGGCTCTCTGCCTGGGTCAGCATACGGTAAGGCAGAGTGGCTTTTGGCTGGTTATGCTGCCGCTCTCTTCTGGCACCATTGTTCTCCTTCCATCGCCTATCGACTCAGGAGCAGGTGCACTCGTACGCTCTGAGAGCTTCAGCCAGACCACTTTGAAGATCTCGTCCAGCCGGGATTCAATCGAGTGGTAGTACATTTGTTGGGAAGGGCTCAGGCCCTGTTTGTCAGCAGAAGTTGTATCCGCCATTTTGGAGAGATATAGTAATCGCTGTGCGGTATCGGGTGAGTTCCAATCAAACAGTAAGTGAGTTCAGTGGTGACCGGGATAACCCCCACCAGTCCAGAGTGGAGGGGGGAGGGGGGTTGGGAGCACTGTGGAGCCCTTTGTGGAAACTGTGACAAGATCGTCCACTTCTCACTTCTCCTCTGCCTTGTCCACAGTAGGCCTCAGCTTACTTTCTCGGGTTCCTGGTGTTAAGTCTCAGCGGAGGTCTCAATGTATCACCCGGGATTTCCCAGCATAAGCTGTGTGATATTGTAGATAGATCAGAGTTTTTATCGGGTTTAGCACCCACAATTGGACCTTTGCAGCAGTAGCACGCTGTACACACGTCTGTCCTGCTTGATGGCCGAGCCCTTCTTTTTTTTTTTTAAGTAAAATAAAAATCAGGTATTTGAATATCTCTTACTTCGGCCATTTCCTGGATCTCTGATTGGTCTAGGAAGAATGATTTTAAAAAAAGCTGCAGGTGTATAATAACATCAGTACAGGGCTCCTGAAAACATTTCTCATATAGGATAATGTTTGATTAAAATATAGTTCCAATGTAATGGTTTTATTCTTTTAGAACATAAACACACAGCAAACAGAGTCAGAGACAAATGTGAGTAATTGATATGTGCCATGGTTTATAATATGATTCTATTTTTATAACATACAATATCAGAGACTTCAACTTTGTTATGTGAGACAAATCTACATTTTGATAACAGTGGTTAAGATCTGATTTGTGGTTTGTTGTATCATTTTATTTTTTCTTCCAAGAGTATCATATGTAAGTCCCGTCTTCTTTTGCATGTGAAACATTAATACGATCAATGGCAGACGGCACAATCTCTGACATTTTTAAAGACTCACTCTTGTTTAAAATTTACATTAAATCAACATTTCCTTTTATTATTATATATTGTTTTTTTACATATTCATCAGTGGGGATTGTACCCTGTCCCACTGTACCCTGCTTTCCATTGCCTGTTGCTACTTTCATAGCATTGAATATCTTTTTCTCTTTGAAGAACCGACAGCAACTCTGAGCAAGGTTTCATACCATCTTCAGTAATAATCTATGGTTATACCAAGCTCTACATGTCCTTCTTGTAGGTTTTACTAATCTGTGAAATGCTCTTGGTATGAATCGCACATCCTCTAGGTTCCAGAATGTTTGGACAATGTTCTTTTGTCTAACCAAGCATCTCTATTCTCCAAGACTATATGAATTAATTTCTACAGGGCTTGATTTTTTTTTTTCCTTCTTCGATGCTTCATTTATACTATAATATTCTTGCACATGCTCAACATTCCACCCGGACCTGCAAAGTCTCAGCTTGTTGTGCAGACTACTTGCAACTATTTTGTCTATATAATCCTGAACACCTCCCTAGATTAAGGTCTGTCAGATAGGAATCTTCTTTGTGCATCCACATCTTCTACAGGAACCATTATCTTGAGTGTAAGAGTGCGTTCAGGCATATTTCTAATTTTAGTAATATAACCATATTTGCTAGAAATTCTGAAGAACAAGATAGTATGGAGAACTCTATAGTAACTTCTAAACGTGCAATGGAGCTAATCATAGTGGTTTAACCATAAGATAAGATTTTGTGATCTTCAAGCTCAATACATGCATCTTCAATTAACAACCCTGCAATTAAAAGACAGGCTAAGCAACCTACGCATTTTGAATAGTTTACAGTGAAAGAACGTTTTCACTGTGTCTAGGGAAACTGCTGCCTGTTATTTCAGAGATTTACAAAAATTGCTGGAGCTGCAACACTACCCCTTTTCCCTTTGACAAAAACGTTTTATTTCCTTTACACATTCTTATCTAGAATGCAGTGAACATGGCTGCTACCATCCTTCTTCAGCAGTTCTGTTCATCTGATCTTATGAACGGATGGGGTCTGAACTACACTTTCCATAAAATATGGCTGGAGAGGGTATTATGGAATACGATCCAACCAATAGACCTTAACGAGAGGCTCCTCAATGGTGGAAAATCTTCCTGATATGAGAACTGAAAAGGTATGGGTTGGGGTTTTTTTGCATGTTTTTTATGTTTTTTCTTTATATTGCATTAAAAAAATGGAGGTGGCTTTCAGCTAGCAATCCAATGAGGGTTATTAAACAAAGTGAGAATTCAAGATGAATTTTAAATTTAAGGTCAAAATAGCCAAATTTGAAAAATTCCCAAAGTCAACTATGCTTTACATTTAGTTACCCTAGCCTTAAATCTCAAATTTACTTTGTATTCACCTTGAATTCTTAATTTACTGAATAACCCTGTACGTCAACAGGGACCCAGCTGGCAAGTACAGGTCCCAAATATGAGCACTACCAAGGACACAACTTAATTCATCATGAATTATAAAATTAATTCAAAGGACTGTAGGACGTACCCTTATATGCCTCAAATGCCTTTATATGCCACTTGCACATAATGAAGATGCATTGCAGATAGCTATGAGGTATGCTATGAAGGAGCTTGTTGAGCTATGTTGGAGTGCCCATTGATGTCAAAAGGGATGCAACAGGTATCTTTTTTTCTTGGGTGAAAAATAGATGCTCCTATAACTACAGACGCCTGCCAAATTTGCTACAAAATATTATTAACATCTATATTGATATATATATATGACTTAATCAATCTGTCAACTATGCTTTACATTTAGTTACCCTAGCCTTAAATCTCAAATTTACTTTGTATTCAGCTTGAATTCTTACTTTACTGAATAACCCTGTACGTCAACAGGGACCCAGCTGGCAAGTACAGGTCCCAAATATGAGCACTACCAAGGACACAACTTAATTCATCATGAATTATTAAATTAATTCAAAGGACTGTAGGACGTACACTTATATGCCTCAAATGCCTTTATATGCCACTTGCACATAATGAAGATGCATTGCAGATAGCTATGAGGTATGCTATGAAGGAGCTTGTTGAGCTATGTTGGAGTGCCCATTGATGTCAAAAGGGATGCAACAGGTATCTTTCTTTCTTGGGTGAAAAATAGATGCTCCTATAACTACAGACGCCTGCCAAATTTGCTACAAAATATTATTAACATCTATATTGATATATATATATGACTTAATCAATCTGTAAAGTCTTCCGCTCATAAATCATATAAGGGGGACACCTCAAGTGAACATATTAATCTTACCAAGGTATTCTCTTACTATAGAGCCAATAAAAATGGAGAGACAAATTATGATTTTAGTAAATCTCGAAACAGGAAAAGCATTCTCAAATATTGCATGTAGTGCTGTATTGACCTATTTAATGCACAGTAAGCATCTATAGGATACAACAATAAACACAAAAATACCTTTATACACATATTCATATATATCCCAGCAGGAGTTCATGGAACATGCAGTATAGCAGCTGCAATTAGAATCACTTATGGAAACACACAACTGAAATACTAAACTTGTGAAACTCCAATACAAATGAGGAATAATCCCTCAAATGAGCTAGTCCTCAAAGGAATTTTGGTGTTTAAGAGAGGGCTAGTCCCTTAATTACCCGTACAACCCCACTGTACGTCAGAGCAATTTTATCGCATCTGATGTTTTCTCTCTTTTAAATAAACTTGGGAAACTGTCTAGTTTCTAGATTAGATTGCATGTTTAGATCAGATGAGATTGCTTGTTTTAATGATAACAATCACAAGAACACTGTGACATGGACACCATAAACCTACTGATATTAACACCTCAAATGAAGAACTAAGAAATAAACATCACAATATATTTAAGTAGGGATCGACTGATATTGATTTTTTTAGAGCCGATACCGATATTCTGTGAACTTTCAGGCCAATAGCCGATATAATTTGCCGATATTCTGTACATTTACCATTTTGGAAAATAAAAACTATTTCTAAAGGTAAATGCACAAAATATACATGCCACGTGTAGTGGATGCAGTGTGTTTAGACAGGGGAGCTGTGTGTGTTTGTGTAGTGTGCGTGTAGTGGATGCAGTGTGTGTTTGTGTAGTGTGTGTGTTGTGGATGCAGTGTGTGTTTGTGTAGTGGATGCAGTGTGTATTTGTCTATTGTGTGTAGTGGATGCAGTGTGTATTAGTGTAGTGTGTATATAATGAAAGCAGAGTGTTTGTGTAGTGTGTGGGTAGTGTGCGTAAAGTGAATGCTGTATATACTAAATGCAAAGTGTGTGTGTGTTTGTGTAGTGTGTGTATATAATGAATGCAGAGTGTGTGTGTATTTGCGTAGTGTGTGTATAGTGAATGTAGTGTGTTTATATAATGCAGAGTGTGTGTGTGTTTGTATAGTGTGTGTCTATAATGCAGTGTGTTTGTGTAGTGTGCATTATATAAACACACTACACAAACACACTGCATTATATACACACACTATGCAAACACACTGCATTATATACACACACTGCATTATATAAACACACTACACAAACACACTGCATTATATACACAGTGTGTTTGTGTAATGTATGTGTATATAATGGAGTGTGTGTGTTTGTATAGTGTGTGTATATAATGCAGTGTGTTTGTATAGTGTGTGTATATAATGCAGTGTGTTTGTGTAGTGTGCATTATATAAACACACTACACAAACACACTGCATTATATACACACACTATACAAACACACTGCATTATATACACAGTGTGTTTGTGTAGTGTATGTGTATATAATGGAGTGTGTGTGTGAGGGGGCATTTTTTATTAAATTATTATTATTTTTTTTATATTTAATTATTATTTTTTGTTGTTGTCCCCCCTCCCTGCTTGTTGCCTGGCCAGGGAGGGGGGATATAGCATTCCCTGGTGGTCCAATGGCATTGGCTGAGCTGTGGGGGGGCCGGCAGCAAGCGTTTACTCACCTCCCAGCAGCTCCTCCAGCTCCCCAGTGTAAGTCTCGCGGCCAACATGCCGCACAGGTCTCGCAAGAGTTACATTGGGAAGCCGGGGGAGCTGCTGGGAGGTGAGTAAGCGCTTGCTGCCCGCCCCCTCCTCCTCCCCCAGGACAGCTGGGTTTGTAATGAGCCTGGCGGTCCTAGGAGGTATTATCGGCAATATCGGTATCTTAATTGGCCGATACCGATATTGCCAAAAATACCGAATATCGGCCGATTATATCGGTAAAATCGATAATCGGTCGATCCCTATTTTTAAGTGTTCATTCACAAGGAAAACAAAGTTTAAAAATAAAAAAATGTTGATCATAATAGGTTAATTAGACACATGTCACCTTCCTGTAAGGTTGAAAGGTTCCTGTAAGGATGTAGGTGAAAATGTAGCCTAAATATTTTTGTCACTAAGTTTGTGATATCAGCCTATCGAGCTCGACTTTGCAAGATTAACAATGAAAATTAAGATTTCGTTTTTAAACAATAACATTTTCTGAATTTGACAGTGATTTTTTCAATTTTGATTGCTTTGAAAAGAACTTTGCAAGATAGTGGTCGAACCTTATCAATTATTATCAATCAGTTACCAACGATGGACTGGAATGTACAGATTGTATAGTGTGCACATTATGAGCACGCACAAAGTACAAGTTCATGGTATGGGCACGGAGAAGCATAGCTTAGCCTGTGAGATCATAGAGAGGGTATGGGCGTATAGCTGCTGTGATTTAATAAATATGATGTAGGGAGGCAGGAGTAAGGGACAGGTTGCATCTTAATATGTACAATGCACATTTCCACTTGAAGCGTCCCTTTAATAATGGAATAAAAACCTTTACATTTATGTTTGTGAATATCAAAAAATATACTTTCAAGTAGGGAAAAACATTTTTGTGTTGTTTCCTTTTTTCCTTTAGACCGTGAGTTACACTAATGCTTGTCTGCCCCTTGTCATATTATTATTTTATTATTTATATAGCACCATCAGATTCCGTAGCGCTGTACAATGTATGAATTCCCTTTTTGAGTTTCCTGTTCAGGTGTTAGTGAAGTTATACTCCTGTTATAAATTACTGTGCACTCTTTCATTCTGTAATCTGACTGGCTATTAAACTCTCAGCACTCGAAAGGAGTTATGAAAGCAGAGGATCTATTTTATGCTTTGCGGATTGTTTAGTGAGCTCTGCATATCATTTAGATTAATAACTCCGTAAGACAGGCATCTGCTGATAACAAAACATCTATTAGACGTTTACTCTCGATGATAACATTATTTCTGCTAAGCTTAAATCCAGTCTATTGAATACATACATTACACTATGACACCATTTAGATAAATAAATATTGATCAATCGATCGATCAATAGAGATACATTACATTACGTTTTTTATCTTTTTTATATTTATGTTATATAGGATTCTATTATGATTAAAAACCAACTACATGGTTTAAAAGGTTTTAAATTGTAATCACTGTGTGCGCTTTGACACTTTTGCTTGGTATTTTAGAGATACATACATAGGTACATATACCTTGATCACACTTTGACTTTCATACTACAAATACACTAAAAAGACTTCTGACCTTTAGAGCTTACAATCTAATATATAGATAGATAGATAGATAGATAGATAAGCCTTAATTGCATTTTCACATGCAGAAATGACACTGTGATGCACACAACATTCTAAAACACATCACGCCCACAGAGCTTACAATCTAACAAACACGGAGCTCTAAATGATTCCATGTATTGAGGTGTTTACAGATTACTTGTTTTATTTGTTTTTCTGTGCAAAGCTACCCATCCAGTAAATGGGTGTTTTTTTCATTGTCTTACAAGCCTGGAGAAATTGCAGTCCCACAGATAGTCAAATCCAATGTTTAACAATCCTCCAGTGCTTTATTCACTAAGCCTCTGCAATAAAAGACATTCTTTCAGCAGCCACATTTCCACGTGTCTGTGAGTATGTTCAATATGTCTGTGGCAGTGAAATGTAAGAGGCTAATTGTGCGATGTGCAACACATAGTTTCATCAACTATTTCCACTTGAAGTCTGTGTACTGGATACCAGGTTAGCATGGCAACAAAGGGGTTAACGGGTGTATGGAGGAGGTAGGATGGGATTTTGTAAGCAAACTGTGCTGTTTACCTTCGGCAAATACAAGGCCATTAAGTCTTCCCTCATCTGTCACTCTATGATCCTTGGGCACAAAGAGTACCCAAGTGTCACTCAGCGACTGAAAGGGGACTGTCCCCAGTGTGTACAGTTTCCGATTTACTTAGACACAACTGTGGGTTGTAATTGTTTTCACAACCAAGAAATGTCTTCCTCTAGTGCCTGCAAACTAAGAGGAAAAAATAGCACTTTATATCACCTTGCTTCTATAATCTAACCTGGTTCAACCTTGTGGATTTTGCAACTCAAACATTTTAACCTCTTTTATTAATTAATGTCATGTCTCCCAAGTGTGCCTGTTTAGCCACAACCCATTAAATGAAAGTGTCCCTTCTTGGGCATTAGGAATGTTGGAAAGTATAATCTAAATGACTGTCTGTCCATCGATAATTCTTTCTTTTTTTTTATCTCAGCCACTCCATTCATATCCTTAAAGGGGAACTCCAGGCACCAAAACAATTTTATCTAAATGAAGTTGCTATGGTGCCAGAGGGCCCCCAGACACTCTCTTACCTTCAGGAGTTAAACCGTTCTCTAGCAGTTTAACCACAAAGTTGCCTCCAGCGCCAATCTCAACTCCCCCCAGGTGGCATCCAGCGTCTGAAATTTTAGTTTAAGGAAGCGTGGGGTGCCTCCAGACAAGCGCGCTGCTGATTGGTTGAGAGTGGTCAGCTGATGTTCTCAGCCAATCAATGACTCCCCATCCTGAACTCCCTTTCCTCCCAGCACTGCCAATCTGACTGAGCCCGATTGCGTGTTAAAGAGCCGTTGCTCGGAGATACTCATTGGGTGTCCATGACCCTAAGTGTGAGTGACGCCCGATGGGCCCCCAATGCTTGTGGACCCTGGTGTACTAATGGCTATAGATCCACCAATGAAACGATAAGAATCATCATCAATCTAATTTCTCTGTTTATAAAATGTACAACGCCACCATCATAACAATACATTTCTACTGTTACACCTTATGTTATCGTTTCTAATGTCACAACCCATGAATTCTGTTTAGATCAGGAGCCTGGGCTTTTTCTAAAACCCAAGCCCCTAATTGGTTTATGGGATATGTAATTAAGTGCTGGAAACCAAGTCCATTCACCTATAAATCTGCTAGCGGCTTTACTGACCGGTCAGCTCACAGTAGCATTCACAGTCTGCACTTGCTCGCCATCCATATATATGGACAAAGTGGGAAAAGTATAGCTACCTCCCATGACGTGACTCATGGAAAGGGCAGACTTATACCTGCAGTGATTTTTGTAAACTGCACTTAATTCTGAACTGTATATCTAATGGAAGACTACGAACGTATTGCCATTAGATACACAGTAGGCACAATCCTTAGTAACATCCCCAAAGTGCCTATAATTAAATGAAATGCAGCTTTAAGCACTTTTCGCCCGAAGATTACAATCTAAAAAGTTTTTCACGTTCAGACAGTGCCCTTCTTTTCAGACAGATTGACAGCTGTAGTCGACTCCTTTACTGAAAATTGTATAATCTCATAGCTACAAAGTGCTATGTAATCTCATCTCTACAAAGTTTACAATCTAAGATGCAAATCATTTTTCAGTCTTCTTAGTTCGTACCTACAGTTCCCCCTCTACATCGTATGATCTATTTAATATAAAAGGCTCCATAGAAACCTTTTTGGCAGATCAGAATACTAGTTGCTATTGTGGAATAACACCCTAACCTGGAGAGCTTGCAATCTAGCGTACAAACAGTTCATCCTACAAGTGTTTACATTCCAATATATGTTGAATGGACCATGCTAAAGAATGCCCTGCAGAGTTTATAATCTATTACATATACAGTGTATGTTCTTTTTCTCCTGCGGAGTTTATAGTTTAATTGATCAGTGTCTTCATACCATGCACTGTTTAAACTCTAACATGTATACAATACTTAATGACTTTTTCCTGGACAAACAGTATTATATGTTAGATAACTGTAAAGATGTGTCATATAAATATTATACATATATCGTGATCAATTCCTGCTGAGCTTTCAATATAACTATATTATATTAACACCTCTCATCGCGGACTATGTAGAGTGAAAAATTAACGGAGCCTGCTTTTTCAGTGGGTGCATATACATATATGGCAGTTTAGTGATTAACCCTTTTGGGACAAGGCGGCCGCTTTCTGCTGGAAAACAGTAGCTAGGGAGGTCCCAAATTCTTACGGGACAAGGGCGGAGAATGAGGCTTAGGAATCAAGGGTGTAGGAGGTGGCATCGAGCCAGCAGCGCAGAATTTGTTGCGTCCTGTTTTAAAAAGTATGCGTGAACACTAAGCAAGGAAA